GGGGAAGGTGGGGGTGAGGAGGGAAAAGAGAGTAAAGTTAAGAGCTTCAAAGGAACTAGAAACTGACGAAAAACGAACTTTTGAGTGGCTTGCCAGAGGGTTGAATGGCAAAGTCAAAAGGTCAACGGTTCTGCGGAATTGCTGCGAACAAAACGGGTCGATGGTACCAAGGAGACTAGCTCGGTTGGTACACCCATGAACTGTTGAAGTACCGACCTGAGTTCAAATCCTGCTGGACGTTGATGAATGGAATAAATCATTCTGAATTACCTAGGTCCGGTCCGATCGATGAAGATATCCCAAGGAATTTTTTTTTTGAAAAAAAAAACAAGTCAACAGATGCCAATCCGCACCACAATCCAAGAAGTAAAGCAGGCACTTTTCACCTGTCAGAATTGTCACAATGCTTCCTTCCCAAAGCCCGCTCTGTGACAGCACCCATGGCATCACCAACATCCCACCACCCATCTGCACGACGCGGCCACCGTCACACACAAACACGAGCCAAACAAGTGTTTTGCGTGTCATTCTTGTGTAGTAGGGGCCATGCTAATCTTCCTTCTCTGTATCGTTCCAATTTTAATGGATGTCCCTAAGGACCAAACAAGTGTTTTGTGAGGTTCACAATCCTCAATTCTTGTGCCTTCCCCGGGGCTGAATGGCAAACACACATAACAGTTGAGATATAAACAGAAAGATAAAGAGTGCAAATCCTGTACAATTTCAATAATGCAATGATCCCACGAATCAAACCGCATCACACTTCACACTGATGAGTCATGACACAATTCAGCACACCAGATCTCACAGACGAGGTGAAAGCCAAGGGAGGGAAGGGGAAAAAAAAAAAACAGGCAAGATATGAGCACTCTAGAGATTGTCTGGGAATCAATGCAAGTTAACCAACAAATGAGAAATCACAAATTTTCCATGCAGCAAAAGACTCAAAGCAGAGCCAGCACATATGAGCAAAGTCGAAAGCAGAATCAAAAAGCCGAGAGCAACACCAAAGGCAAGGAACATGAGTATGGACGAAGCACAGAAATCCAGAATGCAATATCACACTGAAGTCCAAGTATTCAAAGCCAAAGCAGATAGTACAATGGAACCGAGTAACCATCCAATTGAGAATGATACATAAGAATCGTGAGTCAATGTCCATGCCCAAYAGGGCAACACCAACAGCATAACCCAAATGTAGCTYTCTCTTGTGAATGGCGCCAGGCGCCCTATCTACTCTACAGCCTATCCTACAACTACARCAATGAAAGCATCCAGACAACTTGACTACCAGCGAGTGATGATGTCAACACCAATGCCGACCTCCACCATCACCAGGTACGTGTCCTCTTCACCCACGCTCTCCCTTGTACCCACACAGCGCCCTTCACCTCCGAAGACCACCTTCGCCCTTCACCCTCACTGCACCCTCATGCGGCCCGGCTATGGCCGCCAGTGCTTTGCATGCAGGCAGCGCCCTACCGCCTAGCGCTTGCCTGCTTCACCTCAGCRCAGCGCTGCTCATGCATAGCGCAGCACACATGCATCCGCGCAGCGTGCCCGCAATGCCAGCATTGGCCAAGATCCCTGCTCCCTCGCCCTGCTTGCCAGCATTGGCCAAGATCCCTGCTCCCTCGCCCTGCTTGCCTATATGCCAATGCAGCGTGTGGGCGGCCTCCCTTCAGCCTGTGACCGGGACCCAGAGGCTGAAGCCAACTCGATAAAGTTGGGCCGCGGGGCAATGCAGTTGCGCCTCTTTCATCAAGGCTTGTGGCCAGATTCAGATAGTGGGCCGATTTCCCTTTGGCATTTTTGGCCTCTCTACCCAGCATGCATTGTCGGCCTCACGTTCGAGTGCCCAGGGCCTAACTAACTCAGAGGCCCTGGGCTTTCAGCATTTGCTGAAATCCGAGACTCCGTGCACWCCAACCAACTGGYGTGCTGCAACTGTAWRRACCCCACTTCGTGAAATGTTGGCACAGAGGGCTCTTGTTGATTTGCTGGCCCGCCTTCACTTAGGGCGGGCACGAGGCTTGCTGGGGCCTTAGCCCAGAACATGTACATCATGGCAAGGCCCCTACTTGAGGGCTCAATCCTCACATTCCATCCCCCTTAGCTTCGAAAGTCCGCTGAGATGCTTACTTCGCAGGCGCCTTCGCTTTTAGCTTCCGTTCATAATCTGCCACCACCTGAGGAGCTGTTTCCATCAGTTCCTCCCGGGTAAACCACCGATCTTCTTTCGGATCCGTATGATGCCTGAATCTGATCCGGTACTTCCTCGACCCAGCGGCTTCGGAACAGGCATATCCCTGTGATCCACAATATCGTCGATGTCGACTTGTCCATCCATGGTTGGGGGCAGCATCAATCTCCTGGAAGGGAATTGATCAGTCTCAGCGAAAGGTGCAAGCTTTGAGGCATGAAAGACTGGGTGAGTGCGTAGGTGTCCAGGGACACGAACGACGTACGTAGGACCATCCATTTCATCTCCCACTACATCCAAGACTTCCCAGGGACCAAAGTACTGAGGCATTAGTTTGCGAGATATTCCGAATTCCTGTCCTAACTCGCTAGCCTTGACCCAGACACGTTCCCCTACCTGAAATGTGGACTGTCTGCGATGTTGATTCTCAGAAGCGATCATGGCTTGCTGAGCCTTCTTCATATGTTCAACAACATCTTGCAGCAATATCTCATATTGCACACCGTATTCAAGTGTGCCTGGAGTTGCAGCAGGTCGGTTTTCAGGTAGGAGGAAATCTAATGCTGATCTAGGCTTCCATCCTAAGTGCAACTGGTTAGGACTAACGCCGGTACTGCTATGTATAGCATTGTTGTACAGGCTGGCGATGAGAGGTAACTGCTCATCCCAGTCATCCTGGCTGGGCTTGATGTAATGCCTCAGCAAGTGCTGTACAACTCTATTCATTTGTTCGGCCTGTCCGTTGGCTTCAGGATGATTCCCTGAAGTCATTTGAAGTTGACTGCCCATCTGTTCCGCAGTCTTCTTCCACAGCTCACTTGTGAATCGGACGTCTCGGTCACTAATGATGGTCTTTGGTAAACCAAAGTCCCCTACCCAGTTGTCCTTGAACAACTTGATGACGTATTCTGTCCTGGCTGTCTCTGGCATTGGTATTAGTCTAGCGTACTGGGTGAATCGGTCAATGATGACGAGAATGTGCCTCTTACCACTCTTGCTGGTCACAAGAGTGTCCATATGAAATCTATGGAAACACTCAATCCTGGACCATCAGGAATAGGTAAAGGCTTCAATAACCCAAGCGGTGCTTGAGTTTGCGGCTTGTCCCGCTGACAGACCTGACAGGTCTCAACATACTTCTTTGCGTCATCTAACATTCTGGGCCATCAAAATCGCTGTACTAAGTTAGCACTCGTCTTCTTGTAGCCAAAGTGCCCAGTTGCGTCATGACATTCGCCTAAAAATAAACTACGCAACTGTTCACTAGATGGAACTACCAATCTCTTTACTCCGGCCTTATCAAGATAGATTAGCCCATCCACCATCACAAAGTCACTTTTTGTAGCCTTGTCTTTTGCCTGAAGTTTGCGGATGATGTCCATCGTGACAGGGTCTTCCTGATAGGCTCCCACCAATGATTGAGTTACTTCATTAGATATGCCAAATTCAGAAACTAGCGCACCTAGGTAGTCTGCTCTACGGGATAGCGCGTTTGCAACCTTGTTGTACTCTCCCTTCAGGTACTCAAGCTTGAAGACATATTGGTCTATGACTTCAATCCATCGCTTGAGTGCATCAGAAAGAGCCGGTTGAGTCTTGATCCATTTGAGGGTCTGATGATCAGTCCTCAGATAGAAGAACCTTCCCAAAAAAAAGTGTCTCCAATGGACAAGTGCCTTGTAGAGAGCATAGAGTTCCTTTCATAGGTGGACTTCGCCAACTTCTTCGATGGCATCTTCTTACTCATGTACTCAATCGGTCATCCTGCTGAGCCAGCACTGCGCCAATGTCGTATTCGCTTGCATCAGTGGTCACTATGAATGGCTTCTGCGGATCGGGAACCATGAGAACTTCATGATTCATGAGTGCATGCTTCAATCTCTTGAAAGCACCCTCGCACTCATCACTCCAGTCCCACGGTATGTCAAGTCGAGTTAGATCAGTCAAAGGAGAGGCGATTGTAGAATAGTTCTTAACGAAGTTTCTATAGTAGCCGCACATTCCTAAGAATGATCTGACCTCAGTGACTGTCTGAGGTCGTGGCCAGTCTCGAATACTAGCCACCTTCGCATCTTCTGGCCTAATTCCCTCCGCGGATACTTCATGACCCAAGTATAATATCTTCGTGCGGCCAAACTCGCACTTTTCTAAGTTGACCTTATACTTGTGATGTCGCAGGAGTGAGAGAACCGTCTCAACATGTTGTGCGTGCTCCTCGGCAGACTTACTAAAGATCAGAATGTCGTCTAGATAGACTACAACAAACTTATTTAAATGGTCATGGAAGATCCGATTCATAGCGTGCTGGAATGTACCCGGCGCATTACAAAGACCAAAACGCATCACTACAAACTCATACAGACCATAACGAGTCTGAAAAGTTGTCTTGTGTTGGTCCTCAGGTCTTATTGCGATCTAGTGATATCCGGATTTCAAGTCTATCTTTGTATAGTACTTGCATCCCTGCACCCTATCCAATAGGTCGTCTATGCGAGGTAGAGGCTCTGCGTTTTTCACTGTGATGGCATTGAGGCCCCTATAATCAATGCACATCCTTGAAGTACCCCCCTTCTTCGGTACGAATAGCACGGGTGATCCGTAAGGGGAAGTACTAGGCTGAATCCAACCCTTCTCTGTCAGCTCCTTAAGTTGTCGCCGAAGTTCATCTAACTAGGCGGGGGCCATCCTATAGATCCTTCCCTTTGGGGTCTTACTCCCTGGAATGATTTCTATAGCGTGGACGACTTCCCTTTCAACAACTCCTGTGGGCTCTTCGAACAGATCAGGGAACTTAGCAACGACGCGTTCTATCTCGGGGGGTGTTTTAACGGCCTCCCCCTTCTCAGAGACATAAACAAGATACATACCCTCCTCTTCGTTTTGCTTGTAATAGTTATAGAACGCAGATGCGCACAACCAGCCATAGGTATCTATAATACTACTGGCCTTGAACTTGGTCAATCTGACAGTTCGGCCATCGTGCAACTTGTGTTTGAGCACCTTCTTATCCCAGTCGAACTGGCGCTTAGCAACTTCGAGGTAGTACATGCCTAGCAACATATCGAATGGCAAGTCGTCGCTAACCAAGAACGAGATTTTATGGTTAAGCTCACCTCCTCCATAGGAGAAGGTACAGACTACGTCCTTGATGTAGTCTGTTACAATCATGCGCTCCTTGTTGGCCAAAGTAGATGCTACAGGTCTACTAAGGTGCCGTACCCGGTCCTGCAGGTGCAGCCTTTCCAAACAGTCGCGACTTATGTAA